CCCCAAAACCCCAAAACCCCAAAACCCCATGACTCACAATTTTTGAAAATCATATTGGTATCATTATTGAATTTTAGATATCAATATATATATATATTTATTTTTTCATACTTATTAATGTCTCAAGGAGATGATGGTGGTGACCGCCACAAAAGTATTTCAGGTTTGACTAATACTACAGACAAAGTTCCTTATAATGTGAATGCGACATAAGACATCTCATCGAGAGACGAATTGCTTGAAGAGGATTAAAGGCAACCCTATGTAGCCTCACCATACGACACACAATACAACAGAATGAAATATTACTCAGCTCTGAGAACTGGCTTCAAATAACTCGATCCTAAAAAGTAAAGTTTTCTTAAGGTTCCCAATCATGCAGTCGATCCAATTGGCTATTATGTAAACCAATTACCCAGATCGCATTCAACCAAGTTAGATGGAAAGTAAAGTTCTTTGACTACAATATTCACTTGCTGGAACACTATGATTGGATCTGGCATAGTCGCCTTACCCTGGACCTTTGGGTAATCTGGATTCCTGCTAGGATTGATTATTTGCATCATAGGATTGATCATCTCGTATAGAACTTGCATTCTTATGATCAGAGCAGCAGGAAATGATCCCGAATACTTCGATACTCTCTATAAATATTGGGGTAAATGGGCTTATTATTGTGGTTTTATTTCAACATTGCTAATTATGGTCGCAGCAGTTTGCGCATATTTCGTTATATTATCTCAAATGCTCTACTTTATCTCGCTTGCTCTTATTGAGTGGATATTCAAGCATCGTCTTACGGTAGTGACCTCGGCTGACTTTTCAGTATTTTCCCTAGCTTACATGGCATTGGCAGTGTTCGTGATTGAATTCATTATTACTCTGAAGAAAGATCTCACTATATTCATCAAATTAATGTCGTTCGGTTCTATCTTTATTATTGCTCTGATTTTGTTTATCATTGGATTTGGCTTTTATGCACTAGGAACCACTCACTTTGACGTAATTGGTCCTAGCACTAAAACAGAATTTGACCCAAGCACTGATACAAGATAACTAAGACTTTTTAATACAGACTTTTCACCATTAGCAGGATTGTTGGGTATTGGATACTTCTTGCACACAGTTTCTTTGCCAATTATAAAAAATAATGCAAATCAGAAAAATAATGAGAGAGATGTATTTATTGGCTACATAATGGTCGGCTTCTCCTATATATCTGTGGGCATTATGGGTTCTATTGGTTTTTCAGGAAAATACTTTGATAATTATTATCTGTAGCATTTGGATAAGCTACAAATAGATGAAAACTGCATGAATATGTTTGACTAAACAGATATCCTTGCTTTCTTTATGAGAGTTGCTCTTTTCTGCCTATTGTTCTGTTGCTTCCCATTGATTAACCATTTCCTCAGATCACTTGTATTCTAATTAGTATTTAGAGACTAAGAGATTTCCCAGAAAAAATTCATAATAGTCAATTTCATTAACCTATTTGTTCCCACGATGATCACAATATTTTACCCAAAAGTCGGAAGTATTTTAGGAAAAATCGGATCTATAGCAGGACTCTTAATTGTTTACATTTTACCAGTCATTACTTACTTAAAGAAATACAGAACAGAACTTGAACATCCTTTATTGGCGAAGGCTATTTAAAATGATATGTATGAGTATAGAACAACAGGCCAACTTGATGTGAAGTCTCCAAAAATTGTTGTAAGAAGAGCATTAGTTGACTCACAAACTCCTAATACTAAGAGGAAAATGCTTGATGATAGTTCTGTAATTGGAGCACCAGTTAACCTAAAACCATACTATTGGGAATGCTTTACTCACTCGTTTATCATAATTTATGGTGTTCTTATTCTTATCCTGTAGTTTTATAATCCCTTTATATGATGTTATCTAGGGAACTGATGAGATGGTAAGGTTATTTGCCATAATTATTAGTTTAAAGTTATTCATGTATGCTCTATAATTGGCTTTACAATACATAGGTGCATGCACATCTAATGTCAATAAAATTACATGATAACACTTTAAGATCTTCAATATTCATCTCCAATATTCATCTCAGGGGTTTTGGGGTTTTGGGGTTTTGGGGTTTTGGGG